ATTACCATTTGGCTTTTGAACTATGAAAATAGGCCAAAAATAATCCACAAGAAAGAATCCTTTAAAAATAATATTGTAAAAGAATGCTGCCATTTGTGATCTAGAAAAAGAAAACTAGTGAGTTTAGGCTGAGATGGAGGTATGAAGCTGTGGCCACCACCTGTGACACGCGAAGGACAGTTACTATTGCGAATGTGCTGGGGGGGATGAAGAGCAGAAGTGAGCTTATAGACACAGCTTGTGAACACCCAGGAAAACATGGAAATGGACTTTATTGAAATAGCCTAAGTGAGGGAGGATCATGGCATGGCCTTGGGCTGCACTGTGGCCGTGTACAAGGCTGAGTGTAACCAACAGGACACGATCATGCACTGGATGCAGAGGATGAAAGAAGGACTCACAGCTTTTCTTTTAGTTCTAAGTAGATAGTGCTTGGAAGAATGAGGGAGAAACAAGGTTTAGATCAGAAAAAATACTAGTTTTAGACATCTTACTTTTGAGATAGCAGTTAGAAATTTAATAGGAGATATTGACTATGCAGTTGGAGATACAAAATTGGAGCTCATAGTGGATACCGAAGAAGAGATTTAATTTTAGAAATCATATAAATGGATGAGATCCTCCAAGGATAAGTTATTTAGGGAGAAAAGAAATATTTTTTGAATTTTCCTTGTAGAGAATCTGATGATACATAGACAATGGCAAGTTTATTTCTTGCTTTTCAATGCTATTCACTTCATTTAGTTTTTCCAGCTTTAATTCTTAGGATTTCCAGAAAAATACTGAAAGGACACCCACGTTTGTACCTAATCTTAAGAACAGCCTTTCAATATGTGATCATTAAATATTTATTTTCTCTAGGTCATTTTACAGATAACTTGCCTTAGGTTAAGGAATTCTTTGGTCCTACGATTTTCAAAAGTTTTCTTTTTTTTTTTTTTTAACTGTGAATGGATATTAAATTATCTCTCAAATACTTTTTCTGCATCCCTTGAAATAATATCATTATTCTCCTTTAACATGATAATCTCTTTCTGGAATAATTTCAAATTAGTGATTATATATTCTTTTTAAAATACATTATTTGGTTTTGCTAATAAATTTTAGATAATTTTTCAACCATGTTAACCAATTAAATTAGTGTCTAAATGTCATTTGTAAAATGATCCTTAATGAGTTTTGTATGGAGGTTATGTTAGTCCCATAAAAGGAGCTGGGAACAGAGGTTTCATTTTCTATTCTCTGAGAAAATGTGTGTAAGTTCAGAATTATGTGCCTTCTGAATTTTTGTAATAAGCTGTTTGTAAAACATTATGGGAAAGCCCAGTCACTTTTCCTGGAAACTAGTATAATACGAATTTGTTATGAAAATTAGAAATAGGCACTATTGATATGAATGAAAACAATCACTTTAATAGGTGTCATTTATTGGTGGCTGTTTTTCTTCTATGTTTTTTTTTATCATAACAACCCTATGGGGTAGTTTCTTTTATCATCTCCATTTTGCAAAATGAAAAACTCAAACTTAGAGACATGAAAAAGCCTGAGGTCATGCAGTTAATATACAGATGAACAAATATTTCACCAAGGAATTTCTCATTCCAGAATTTGCAATTACTTTGACTAATTTATTATAAAAAGGACAAATTGCTGAAAGTAAACTTTGTTTCTCTATGAGCAACATTTGAGTTTCTTTTCTTCTTTGGAAATTTGTGGTGATACAAATAATCAAATCATCTGTGAATTATAGTTCTGTTACTTGACTCTCACTATAATTTGTGGTAAAGTTGAATTTATATTCAGAAATATTTTACTGAAACTATTACTCTATTGAGCATTTTATTCTTTCTTTCTCTAGGCTCATTATTTTTACCTTCTTTTCTTGGTGATATGAATAAAAGCATAACTTTTTTTATTGCTGCAATAACATAAGTGTACATAAGACTAACTTAATTATAATTAAATGTGTAAAAATATGATTCATTCAAATAATGAATAATACTTCAATAACTTACTTTAATAAATGCCTACAGTCACTCTGTTCAAGAGAGAGAGATCCACGAAAGATATGAATGGTAGATGTGCATAATGTAATAGTTGCTAGGCTGCTATAGTGTTTTTACTTCCTAGTATCTCATACATTTATAAATTATATATTAAAGTTTCTCTCTTTCATGTATCTTTTAGTAATGGATTTACTTTTGAAAATTCATAAATTATAATCATGGTAGGATTTCCACAATTTAGGGTAAATTGAAGGGACTATTTAAATAAATGGAAATAAAAATGTCTATTCTATATCTTATGAAAATTTGAACCTGCTTATTTAATACTCATGAAAATACTCAGATAAGAATATAAAGAATATTATTATCAAGTTTATATGATTTAAAATTAAAGCAATTATTTTATCACAAACAAAATTATTAATAGTTACCTATTACTACATAACAAATACCCCCAAAACTTAGTAACTTAAAACAACCACCATTTTATTTCTCAAAATTCTGGGGGTCAGCATGATTTCTTAGGTTGGCTGCCAAGTAAGTTGGGAGATGGACAGATGAGGTGCTCAGATGGATATGCCCCACTTTCCATGTTATTTTTCATCCTTACAGAGGCTAAACCTGTAGTCTCTCAGCAGTGTTCCAATAAGGGGAAAGCAAAATCTGCATGGGCTTTTAAGGCTTAGCTTCTGAAGTTATATGATGTAGTTTTTGCTACATTCTATTGGTCAAAGCAAGTCACAAGGCAAGCCCATATTCAACGGCGGTGAAATAGATCTCACTTCTTCAAGAAAAAAAGCTGCAGGTCACATCTCAATAGGACACATACAGGGAGCATGGTTCCTTGGGGAACATTATTTTAACAATCTACTACACAAAGTAAGTGACAGCTTGTTTGATACACTGCCTTTTGAAAGGTAAAGTCCATAATCTTTGTGACCTTATGCTAAGATATAAAATATATTATATTGGTTTGAGAGCCTCATATACCACTTCAAACTCTTTTTATGACATTTTAGTGAAACTAAGGTGCTTTTCATCTTTACATAATATAAAAAGAGAGTTCCTTTGAAATGTTGTAATCTCAGCCATAAAAGAATGCAGACACCATTAAAAGGAATTTCAGAAGAGTTCGAAATGAGAAATATTGAAATAAATTATTGGGATAGAATTTGTAAATAATCCATCCATTTTGATGGGTTTATCAAAATAATAGGAAAGTAAGAATTTGAGAAAGGATTAATGCATACAGTTTATAATCTTTTGTTTGTAGAAGTAGATTATTTCAGTTGAGTTTGATCTTTTTAGAGGCAGCATATCAATGGCTTGCTAAACAAAGGAGAAAGAATGGAAGTCTGTTCTGAATTTTAGTTGTGACACACTCAAAATTACAAATTGTCTTCCTAAACTATGGTTTGTTTTAAAATCCAGATAAAATACTCATTTACTGAACACCTAATATTTTCCAGACATTATTTATTTAATCCTTACTGCTAACCCTAATGGAACAAGGACATCAGATATATTATGGCCTTTTAATAGCAGAGGAAAATAGGGCTCAAAATACTAATCTGTCTGCCTAAGTCTTCAGTGGCGGCACTCAAATCTCAAGTCATGTTTTTAGGACTTTGCCTAGTGCTCATGTCATTCCTGCCATTCAAAAATTTTGTGATAGCAAGTCATTATCAGGTGCAATGAAAATTTTTCAAAAATGTTCCTTATGCCAAAAATAAAAATAAGACAGCTTAGATATAAAGGTTTTGCGGATAAACAATTGGAATTTAATGAAGGCTAATTATAGATGAAGCATTTTCCATATATTTTTCCATTTAATTTCACAAAGTCTGCTACAAAAGAGGTACTGTTATTTTTAATTTTTAGTTTAGGAAATAGGTTTAGAGAAACCCTGGCACCATCTCAGACTATATAAATCAGAATCTCTGTGATCAGTTCTTTAAAAATTCTTCCAAAGACATACTAATATGCAGCCAGGGTTGGAAGCCATTACTTTAAGTTGTTTGCTATACATCTTTAGAAAAAAAATTGATGACATCATTTGTAGGCATGCTAGAAGATATAAGTCAGAGAAAATTGGACAGCAACTATTTCATGGTTTTCTTATCATTACTTTAGAATTCTTAGAGTTTATAATTTTTTATTTCAATATTATACACTAATAGGTAAGCATTTTAAGATATTTCTGAAGAAAATATGTTTTGCTCACATATTGCTAAACTGAATTACATTGCAATGACTTGAATATTTAGACTATTAAGATAGAATATAATATAAAACACAACAAGGTCATTATGTTTGGGGAAATAAACATGTTCACAAATTACTGCCTAAATCAAAATTAGTTCCTTTCTCCCACAGAAGCCTTAAAGAAAAAAATCAAGTATCATTTTACTGCACAATTTCCTAACAGTTCAAAGCATAATCTTATGTGATCAATTATTTTAAAAGCAGTGTCTCCAAAAAAAAAAAACCCTCATATATAACTTTTTCTTGAATTCTTTTCAAAGTCTACCCCCGAAACTAAATCTATTTAAATATACCTGAATACATTTTAATATGTTACCCTATTGTATGATAAGTTTATATATGTATTAAACAATCTATAGTGAAGTATTATCTATATGTAAACCTAGGTATAAATGAACAGATACAGCACTTGAAATCTGTGTCTATATTAAGCACACATCTACCACTGCTAATCTCTTTAGGCTTATTAAGGTATCTAGTAAAAGTTTAGCTGCTAAAATCACCAAGTTATATAAAAAAGTAAAGATTCGTCCTAAAGTATCATCTTGTGACATAGTTCTTCATATATGAAGAAATCCTCTTTAATAAGTAAATGATATAAGAGAAATCCTTTTTTGTTCTATAGAATCCTGAATATAGTAAGTTTCCACTAACTTCAGAAACAGAACTCTTAAATTGCAATAGAAATTTGAGGAAATTCAATGGATCTCATTCAAGATAAAAACTTACCAGCAAATTTAATATGGAATTTATTTTCAGGCTTTAGTATCTGGACATACAAAGGGCAATTTGGAGCAAAATCTTTCACAGCCCATGCTCTCAAAATTGTTTGGTGATCCTGAAATGACCAAAATCAAAATATCATGAGATACATTAAAACTTTCATGGATATGAAGTGAAAATCATCAGTTTGTGCAGTCACATCCATAGTTAAAAATTAAGCATAAAAATTTATTGTAAGAACTTATTTTTAAGGACACTTACGATTTCTATAAAAGAGGGAAATAATACTTAATTAAATCAGAGCTAAAAACCAGCACTTAGAAAATAAGCAGAGATTAAGAGGAGAGTACCTGGACAGGCTTAAAAATAATTTTCCATGAAAATTCCTGTGGTCGGAATCTTTTAGAATTGTAGCACAACTAATAGTTCATTAAAGGAATTTTCAGAGAGAAAAAAATGGGCTTATAATACGAACTTACTTGGTAAGACTGATGAGAGGAAAACAACTACGTGACCGTACATGTAGAGGACACGTTATTTTACTTTTTCATGTGATAGTAAAGGTAAAAGAATTTTTACTTTGTGTGTATGTGCATATGTATGTTTGTCTGGAGAAAAAGAACTCTCAGATATAACAAAATATATCAAAAAAAATTTTTTTAAGAAAATGCTAAGACTGAGAAAGAAAATCAAAATCATGCTTAACACGAAATCTTATGCACAGTAGTCACCCCATAAATAATGCAATAAATTGAATAAACCAAGGCAAATTTTTAGAGAAATATGCCACACAGTTAGCTAATACATTTTTGAAAAGGAAGAACAAATGTGCTCTATGGTAGCAAGTTCATATAAGAGCCAATAAGCACATAGGCTATTTTAACTTAAATTAACTAAAATTAAATAAGATTAAGAATTTAATTCTGTAATCACACTCGCCACATTGCAAGTGCTAAAAGGTGCATGTGGCTAATGGCTGCCATACTGGAGAGTGGAGATATAGAGCATTTCTGTCATCATGGAAAGTTCTCTTTGACAACACTGCTAGGGAAAAAAAAGGAAGATCAAAAATACACGTAGATATGAGGTACTGTTTGTCCAAATGCAGAAAAATGTTGTTGATGTTAGTAACTTCCACAGACTGAATGTTTGTGGTCCTTCAAAATTCATATGTTGAAATCCTTATCTCCATTGTGATGCTACTAGGAGACAGGATCTTTGGTAGGTGATCAGGTCATTGGCACAGAGCCCTCATGAATGACTTTATAAAAGACTCCCCACAGAGCTCCCTGGCCCCTTCAGCCATGTAAAGATGTGGCCAGAAAACAACAGTCTATGAACCAAGAAGCAGGTCTTCACCAGACGATGAATCTGCCATTTCCGTGATCTTGGAGTTCCCAGCTTCCACAACAGTGGGAAATAAAATTTCTGTTGTTTACAATCCACCTAGTGTATGCTACTTTGTTATGGCGGCCCAAATTAAGACAGTAACTTTAAGTTCCACGAAAGCTGATGAATATTAGGCCAGAATGGCTTAAGTGGACAGTATGCATCTCAGGCAAATATTCAAAACATTATGATAAGCCTAATAATGCCTAGGAAGATTCATCAAGCGAGTATCTGTTAATTCACGTAACATGCTTCTAAACCTGAGGTTGGAAGGTTATAGATAATTTAGTGGAGGGTTGTTGTTATTTCTCTTTCACTAGAAGTACAATATTTTAAATGGAAAGAAAAAGACAGAAAGTAAACCACTAAGTTAAAAAACATGAACATATAGTTTTTGATTTTATTATCTTTTATTTCATTTAGTTTAGTGTGGTTTTAAAGACAATGGATTTTTACTAGGGTTCTTCCTCTGCTTTGTCCTTCAATACCTAAGTGTATTGGGACAAATTAAAGTTTCTCATTTGTAAAATGTAGATTCTTTCTATCTCACAGAATTGCTATGGTGAAATAGAACATGTACAATTTTTAATAGAGCTTGGCAGTTAGTTATTGTTGAATAAACAAGCTGTTTTTCTTATTATGTGTATCATCTTAGTAATAAGAGAAGTAATATCATTAGTGATAAAAGATAAAGAACAAGTATAAATTTCTTAGCAAGAGTTTAAACTGAGATTTGCCAGCTGGCACCAGCAACAAACGTAACATTAATAACAGAAGGGGACACAGAGAAGGCCAGGAGATCCACCAACATGGAAGAGTAAGCTCTTACTAAATCGTCCCTCCTGCAGATAACAACTATAAACTCTAGATGAAATTTATAGGATAATCACATAAGGGTTCTATAAAATGAACTAAAGCAGGCAGATTTTCCCAAAGGAAGACAGTACCAGACACCAAACCCTCAACTCCTCTGTCTTGCTTACTTTACATTTAGTCAGTCCTCAAATCTTGTTGATTATGCCTCTAAGTACTGCTTTAAGATGTCCACTTCTCTCCAGCCCCAGCGCCACAACCTGAATTTAAACTAGTGTCATTTCTGGTTAGGAATAAGGGCAACAGCCTCGCAAAGTCTCATCCTGCATATGATTATTCGGCCAAGGTCAAGGGGACCACTACGCAGATTACTGGCATGTTTTCTTTCTTCTTGGTACTTTGTTCCATGTATTCCTTCCTTCTCACACTTCCCCCACTTTCAGCTCAGATCTCTGTCTTCTCTGCTCAGTAAAACTGTCATGAGCTGACTGAATTACCTTTTCTGCACCAGGATCTGATAAACGCCTTTAGACGGAAAGTGTAGTTTGTTTGAGTGCTGATCTCACTGGTTTCCTCACCCTCATAGATCACAGATGCACACTGCCTGTTATTCAGTCTGAAAATAATTGTTTTGTATATTTTGTCCCAAATTCATTAGTGCGAGGAGGTTACTGTAATACTTGCTACTCCCAAGTGGCTGTAAACAGAAGAGTTTCCTATTTTTTTCTCAGTCTGCTTCAGCCTTTAATCATCCAATATTCAACCAAAAACTGCTCTTACTATGTTCACTGATGACCTCCACGTTGCCAAATCTAATGATCGATATACAGTCCAAAGCTTTCGAAATGTTCCTTTCTTCTTGAAATGCATTTTCTATTTAGTTTGCAGAGCTCAACCCTCCATTGGATCTCGTCCTTACATATTTTTCTCTTTTTAAGCTGCTTTGCTGGATTCTCATTCTCGTTGTGACCTCTAACTATTGGATGCCACCTGGGTTCAATCCCAAGACTCCCCTTCCTAGCTACACGCAATCCCTGTGTGACCTCCCCCTGCATCCTGTGGCTTTAAACGACATTTGTATGTTTCCGATTGCCCGACTGGTATCTTCAGCATATTGACATCACTTCTACTAGTAGATAAACTCCATGAGAGCAGAATGTTTTCAACTGTTATGTTCATAACTGCATATTCAGCTGGTATGTCAGTGTTGGGCCCCAAGATACATAACAAATAAAGAAAAAAGGGAGCAGTTTTTAAAATGAGGATGTTGTACTGGGGCACTTTTTTTTCTTGTATAAAATACTATGCTCAGGTCTGAGTGGGGTGCAACAAATGATGTCAATCAGCCTCCTGTAAATTTGTTAATTGACATAATTTGCTGTATCAGGGACTGGTTTCCTGGAAGACAATTTTTCCATGGATTGAGGGGATGGGGATGTAGGGGGAGCTCAGGCTGTGATGCGTGGCCTGACCGGCCACAGACCAGAACTGGGCACAGCCCGGGGGTTGGGGACTGCAGGACTAAGGCATGTAAACTTGTGACAGTGCAAACATAAATTTATGTACAATCGAATAGTAAGTGGTAAATAGTAGATCTATATATAACAGTTACCCTCACACAAAAATGTACTGAATGATAACAGATGCCTAAAATGTACAGCTGATTTTGAAAATTTACAGGGTTGTCAAAGGGAAAGCAACACAAAAAAAGGAAAAAGAAAATGCAATCAAAGTGATCCCTGGATCTTCGACGAACAGTATGTACATAGTGACACAATTCTAAACGTTTATCATGTTGAACACTTAAGAGTCAATCAGTAGATAACGACAGAAGATTTCATTTTGTTTATACAACAAAAAGCAAATGGTATCAGTTTTCAAATGTAAAAATGTAACTGATAAAGACCAAAATTGGAAAATTGAGAATGAAAGAAAGCTGAAGGAAAAAAGAGGGAAGCAAAAGTCATTTTTTTACAAGCGAGAATAAAAATTATATTAATAGTTTAATTTATGCAAAGTGAATATATTCTTTTTTTTTCTTTTTAATTTCAGCATATTATGGGGGTACAAATGTTACGTATATTGCCCTTGCCCCACCTGACTCAGCTTCAAGTGTGTCCATCCCCCAGACGGTTTGCACCACACCCATTATGTGTGTATAAACCCATCCCCTCCTCCCCCGTCCGATCTGCCTCACGCCCGATGAATGTTATTACTGTATGTGCACTTAGGTGTTGATCAGTTAAAATCAATTTGATGGTGAGTACATGTGGTGCTTGTCTTTCCATGCCTGGGATACTTCACTTAGTAGAATGGGTTCCAGCTCCATCCAGGAGAATACAAGAGGTGCTAGATCACCATTATTTTTTGTGGCTGAGTGGAACTCCATGGTATACATATACCACATTTTATTAATCCACTCATGTATTGATGGGCACTTGGGTTGTTTCCACATCTTTGCAATTGTGAATTGTGCTGCTATAAACATTCGAGTGCAGATGTCTTTATTATAGAGTGTCTTTTGTTCTTTTGGGTAGATGCCCAGTAAAATGGGATTGCTGGATCAAATGGTAGATCTACAAAGTGAATATATTCTTTTAAGGGATTGACTGAGAATAGGAAGAAGCAGAACGGAGAGCTGATGCCTGAAACCATGTATATTAATATTTGTTATTCTGATTATAATTTTTAAATTGCGGAATCACTTTTACATACAAATGTGTATGTCATTTCAATAGTAAGCTATTATCACCATGGAGGGCAGTTTTGTTGTAAAAGACGAGGTTTTGGAGTCAGATTGACCTGGGCAAAATCCAGACGTTGCCACTTTGAGAAATCTAATTAACACCTCGGAGCCTTGCTTCTCTCATCTATGAACCAACTGTGGTATTAAATGGCATAATGTGCACAAAA